ACAAGCATGGATCCCTGCTGGCACATTTGGAGCCCCAGGTGGGCAAATTGCCGTTGAGTTTAAGGATATCCAGGCATGCTTTCACCTCGGACGAATGGAAATGAATCTAATTCGCATGTGGTGCCTGTAAGTCCTTGCCCTCTCTATATGATATGAATGTAATCTTTTGATTTTGTTGTAACTAACCCGCGCCGTGATTTATAGAATGCAAGCGGACTTTGTGAGAAAGAGGCCAGCTCTGAAACACGGGTATATAGACCCTTCACCTATAGCATCAACAAATTTTAATTACCCTAAAGAGTGGAAACTAGATTGCAAAGAACTAGGAGGTGGAAAGACACTTAAGGAAAAAGAGGATATCAGGAACAAGAAAATATTGGAAGAGTCCCTCAAGGTTGCGGCATACATTGCCCTATGTTTTAAAAATCTCCAACAACACGATAATATATGGATACCATACCACTTCAAGTAAGTTCGACTGTATACTTAGCTTTGTTCAATATACTTTGTTCGATGCAAAAGAGCTTATGTGTTCTTTCTATGACTAAATTCATGCAGCGATCACTGGATTTGCATAGGCGTCTGGCTCTCACATAGCATGGCATGGGTCTTTGATTCAGCGGATTCCCCAGTCGAGACATACAAAGACTTCATAGCGATTGTCAAGACGTATACATATCGACAATCCTTATTTTAGCTACTATGTTTGTATACATACTTGTAAGGTTCAATGTGGGATACTAACAAGTTGCATTTGCTAAAACCATTGGAACAGGGCATTCAGGCACTATGTCCAGGAACATAAGGGGAGGCATCATCCAAATAGGAAGGAAAAGTTGTATGTCAAAACTCTATGTGCGGTAAGTGTCATTTACTTTGGTACTCCATATATTACGTGTCTGTCAATAGTATTACTTAACGTCTCCATATGCAAAACACACAGTGCCCCAAGCAGAAGCCTGGGAGTCTACATTGTGGATACTACACATGTATTATGATGAGTACCATCGGTGGCTACAATAGAAATCCCAATCTGGTAAGTTTGAACCTCTTCGCTCGTAGTATGAAAAATTCGCATATGTTGTGATATAGTAAACCTAAACTTGTTCTCTTGTAGTTGGAGAAAGATAAAGACACGAGAAGGAACCCATACAAGGATGACGAGCTCTTAGAGATGGTCGGCGACCTTTGCAACTTTATAATGGACCAGATTGTGTACCATAAAGGCACTTACCATCATCTTCTTTCCGACTTAGGTAGTAATCCTCTATACCAACACCTTCGTGAGACTGATAGGCTAGCCCTAGGCCGTTGATGACAATGTGGACTTATGGTATGGTTTGGATCAGACTTTGGAACGGTTTGGACTTTGTTTTGCACGTGGACTTATGGATTTCTTAATGGACTATGTTATAATGATTGACTTCATAATGGACTATGTTGTAATGATGGACTTTTGTGAATTATGACTTGTGATGATGTTCTAATTAATGGTCTTGTGTTTGTGGATGTATATATGTATATTTGTGGCGGCCAGATTCGAATTTGAATTATATATATATATATGGTCAGATTTGAATTTGAATTTTTTTTTTTTTTTTTGCCTGAAAATCCACTGTAGGGGCGGTTCTTGATTGAACCGCCCTTACAAATACACACAGCAGGGGCGGCTGGTGATACAGCCGCCCTTACAGAAGTCCACTACAGGGGCGGCTGATATTACCAGCCGCCCCTACAGAGGTCACTGTAGGGGCGGCTGAAAACACAAGCCGCCCCTATAGAGGAACTGCAGGGGCGGCTGAAAACACCAGCCGCCCCTACAGAGTGCACTGCAGGGGCGGCTGAAAACACCAGCCGCCCCTACAGAGAAACTGCAGGGGCGGCCAGGAAACCGCCCCTACAGAGGCACCCTCTATAGGAACACCCTGGGAAGGGCGGTTGGCGTAGCCGCCCCTACAGAGGCTCTAGAGCCGCCCCTACAGTTAAATTCTGTAGTAGTGTCAATGGCGCCTGAACTGAGTATTATGCCAACTGGTGACATGTCACTGGCTTTCTACTCAATGAATCCTGTGTTTTGTGCAGACATATGAACAGCTATCATTACTTTTGCACCTGAGCACTTTTAGTACAAGAAGCTAGCTAGGCAACATGAAAAAATAGACAAAGGTGTGACATGCTTTAGGAGTATTTGTGCTTTTTTACAAGAGTATCCGTTGAGCTTATTAACTGATAGGATAGGGGAGCTAGCTGTCTCTTCGTATTTCATCGCAGCAAGTAGTGGCCGGAGCTCAGTTTGGCCTCCACTGGGCTCCGCCCCTATTTATGACACCACCGCCGGTTCATGCTTCAACCCAGTGGCGGTACTCATGAGAGCACAATCGAAACTGTAGTTATTATTATAACGCACCCAAGAATTATAATGCACCAGAGAATTATCATTGCCATCACATTTCTTACAAGATAAGATATGAGTACATCATAACTAGAAAACCATATATACATCTTATCTTACTATTGCTAATTGGAGGCTCACAAGATAAGATATATGAGTACATCATAATTAGAAAACCATACATACATCTTATCTTACTATTGCTATCTTTTTGAAACACTACTATTGCTAATTGGAGACTCACAAGATAAGTTATATGAGTACATCATAATTAGAAAACCATATATACATCTTATCTTTCTATTGCTAATTGAAGGCTCTACGTTAATTTTCACTATGCGCTAAAAAAATAAATCCTAGAAATTCGTTGGAGCATTCACATTAATTCTCAGCAGACCAGCTATAAAAAGATAAATTCTAACATTTAATTTGGTAGACTCTAATAATCATCATCTCCAATAATTTGGTAGAAGAAATCAGTTGTTTGGATATATGATTCATAAATATATGCAGCGATGGTAGGTGGATCCATCGGTGGAGAATATAGCAAACTGGCAGTACGTGGATCCAACGATGGAATACACTACCGAGTCAAGGAAAAAACTGGCAGTAGTGTTACATTTTCACTAACGGATGAAGCCAAAAATCGGCAGTAACTGTCCAGTGGTTTTCCAACTATCACTGTCGGGTTATAGCTTTAACCGATAGTGATATGTCTCTTTGCTGCCAGTTCATAAAGATCATCAAACATTTATCTATCCCAGGCCTACGAACCGATAGTGAAAAGCAATCACTGCTGGCTCTAGCACAACTGCAAGTGATGCTCCGGCAGTGATTTCCTGTTCTGGAATAGTGTGCCAATACAACTTCTCATGATGGAATAGTGCCACTCCTATTCTTGTTGCTCAGTATGAGCCCTCTTTCCTAACTAGCCGGTCTAATTCCATGCACATCTTCTCTTGTATTTGCAGGCATTTCAATTTGCCATCGCACTTGTTTATGCTCCCTTCGTTCTTTACGTGACCAAAACATACACTCATAGCTGGATGGAAAAGCTACAGATGTTGCCACTCTGCATCATTGCTGTTGCAGCACCAATGCTTTGGGCGATCATGATCTGGAAAATATCATGGATAGATGCAGAGGTAAACAAAAATTTCTTGTTTCTTGAAAATTTTTGCTAATCATATATACATGCCACGTCCGTTGTACTCCGTTATACTACATGGAATTGGAATGCCATCGATTAGTAGTATGTGTTCCAGCACAAGTTATCATCAATTAGCTCGCTCGTACTACCTCGTATGATGCAGTTTCAGCTAGCTAGCTACTAGCACTGAGGCCTTGTTTAGTTCCCAACCAAATTTCTAAAAAATACCACAATAGCCATCACATCGAATCTTACAATACGTGCATGGAGCATTAAATGTAGACGAAAAAAAACTAATTGCACAGTTTGGTGGGAAATTGCGAGATGAACGTTTTGAGCCTAATTAGTCCATGATTGAACACTAATTGCTAAATAAAAACGAAAGTGCTACAGTAGCCAAATTTTCAAAATTCGCAAACTAAACACAGCCTGATATGTACTACTAGAGAGAGAAAGAAAGTAGTAACAGATTTGGATCCAACAGTTTATTCAGTTATTATTAAAAAATACGTTACATATATGAAAAAAATATCAACAGTTAACACATTAATTGAGACGAGAACTTTAGCTATCTAAAACATTTTATATGTTGACACATTACAAATCGAGTGTGTATATTATACTAACTCGAATAAAAGTATATTTCATAATTGAGAAGGCCTTCAAATAAAACACGTAGCTGTCACGTATATTGAGCATATAAAGTGGCCACGTAAAGTTTCATGTAAGCACGTATATTTTCATGCACGTTGGACACATACACATAAATTTCACGTTTGCTTGAGCACATACGTGTGGTACGCGTTACTTAAATAAAAAATTGGTACTTTATGTTAATTAAATTATACTATATCTAAAGTTGCAAAAAAAGATTTACCACATCACGTATGCATCAATTAGATCTAAAAAATCTTTATATCTATAACTTTCTTGATTTATCATATTTTCCAAAATAAAAAATTAAATAAATATATATTTCATGTATCACCTTCTAAAAAGTAAATGAACAGCTCATAGCCATTTAGGAGTATCACAGCAAAAACCAATTTAAGCTCATTGTGCGCATTTTGGTTTTACTCTATTCAGCTCACCTGTTGATCTACGGTTTATCTTTTCCGCAGGAAAGGGGGGAGGGGGGGCAGAGGAGGGATTATGATGCGACTGCAGCGATAGGCAAATTTGGGATGTTAGAGTGAATCAAATTATAGTTCGTCTGTGCATTTCTATAAAACTATGATGTCACTGTCAGAGTGAATCAGGTTATATTGAGTGTTCGAGTTACAACCTTTAGCTTCTTGATCGCTCCCCAATGTGAATGCAGGGGATGTTAAGAGTATATTGGGATATCTCCGGATATCGTAGATTACTATATGTGTGTTATCTCTATGGGAGGCTTTTTGCCCTCCAAACAATGTACCATGTGAAAAATACTGCCGACAACGCTAATTTCTGGATGTGCTAATCCATACTGTAACGTGGAACTGTGTTCAATCGGCATAGCGCATAGAAGGCTCTATGAAGACACCAAAGAAAAAAAATATCTTCAGTGGAACTTTTAGCTTCGAAATAAGTTTAAGCGTGCTTGGCAGTGCTACGAACAGCGCTGTAGCTGCAGCACCTACTCAGCTGCTGCAAGGGTGGCAAAATCTACAACCAGTAGTCCTAGCAGCTGCAGCGCAAACAGCTCTAAAAATAACAGCCAGGTTGACAATGTTGACAATGTTTATGTACATCAGGGCTCAAAACTTTTTTTCACCAAGAATCATATCGATGTGGGGGACCTTCCGATTAGCCAAGCTGTCCCCGTTCATCCATCACGAGTAGAGAACAGACTTTCGGATTACATCGTTTTTTGGCTTTAGTCCCGATCATTTTTGGGCCCGGGACAAAAGAGAGGATTAGTCCCGGTTAAAGCCACCAACTGGGACTAAAGTCCCTTGCCCAACGGCTAGAGTCGTAGGCTTTTGCAGGAGGGGATCTCTAGTCTCGGTTGGAGCTATTAGTCGTGACTAAACCTTTAATCCCAGTTGGTGGCTCCAACCGAAAGAGGATGACCTGTAGTCCGGGTTTGAACCACAAACCGGGATTATATGTCCCGAGCTATATACTTTCTCCATGAATGATTTGAAGATGCACCCTTTCAACCCAAAGAGAGACATCTCAAACCCAGTAAGCATAATGAAGGTGTCCAACATGTTCTTGTCAGGGAAGACTGTAAGGTATTCCTGGTGATCCATCTTCCTGACTTTGAAATCCCAATCTGATCTCACTAGGTGCTTCAGCTCTTTATCCACTCTTTCCTCAGAAGCTTCACCTTCAAGTATGGTGAGCAAGCCTGTAGTTGCGGCCTCCTTGGCCCTAGCCTCTGGTATATTGAGAGAATAAAATCCATGACCCGGGATCCCAAATCCAAACTTCTGTAACTTCTTCAAGTTCACAAGCTTACGGTCAACCGCCATGTGGCCTCTACCTTAGCACTTGTAACACACAGTCTCCTTGGTACATTCCGACTGATGATGACCAATATCCAGGCAATGAAAGCATTTAACCTCAGAACGATTGAAGGGTTTCACGCATGTTGAAGGGACTGCGCCTCCCTTCTCTCGGTGGTTATCTCTCCATGATTAATGGCTCGATGGTCAGGGCGATTCCCGGCTGCCTGAAGATTTGGCCTCCAATTTCCCTGATTGTTTGGGTTCCAAGCCCCCTGATGCACATCATTCCAGCCTCCTCTCTGAGATTGGTTTCTTCCAAGATCATTCCTCCTAGGATTGTATGGCTTGTTGCCACAAAAACGCTCTCGACCACCTTGGATCTGGCTTCGACCATCATACCTTCCCCTGAAGCTTCCACCATCCGCCAGCCCAAGATCTCTGCCGCCGCCCCTTTGTAGTTGGCGACGTAGGTCATGTTCCTCGAGCTCTCCCCCAAGAAGGTCGTCCTCCTCCATCCACTCCTCCTGCCGACGTTTGCCTAGCGGACGAGCTGGATCTCTTGCCATCTTGGTGATTTCAGTGAAGGATTTGGTTAGGGATTGGTGTGGAGGAAGCGCCCGAACTCTACGGGAGGTATGCCTATAGCAATCTAAAGGACGGGCAGGGTGACAAATATCCAACGTGAGCCTTCCTCTCGGGATCCAAAACAACCTAGGGCCTGGCCTAGTGGCCTAGGAGTGATCAAAGCGAGGGTCCTGGCCCAGGTGAGTGCCTTTGTCCTGAACCGGCTTCATCAGGAACTCTGAAAGCTTCCCTTCCAGGGGAGACATCCAAAGAGCACCCACCATTGAGACGCTAGAGTTCCGTTGTTTGCTAGAATTCAGAGGATCACCATGACCCTCTAGGAGCATCTAGCGCAAGCATTATGCCCATCGCCTCTTTGAGCCTATTGCAAGCGTCCACTAGTTCCCCCCAATTGGAAGTCAGTCCGTTCGAAGAACAGGTGGTGCTTAATGTCTGCCACAATCTGCTCTTGGACGCGATGCTCCCCTCTATGGGTCAATGGGTGATAGCCAGAATCATCTGAATCCAATCACGGAACTAATTTGGAGCCAGAGTAAGTCACCGAGGAGCACCCTTGCCGTGGTGAATCCCCTGCTCAATCGATGGCCATGCCTCCCCGACGATGTTGAAACTGTCCCCATCTCATCGGAGGTCCGAGCTGCTCCCTCCCTGATGCCCTGAATCCCCAAATCTCTGGTAGCCAACTCCCCTAAACCCAAATGAGAGCTACCCTCGCGGGGGATGACTTATCGATGTTTTCAGTGCGCCAGGCATCCCTTCGAACCTCTGCCGAAGACGGGCGAGGAGCAGCCATCGAGCCAGCCGCCGGAGAGCAAGCTATAGCCCGGTCCACCACCGCCGCCGTGGGCGGAGGTGGAGTCACCTCCTGGTCGCCCTGCGGGGAGGGAGAGCGCTGACTCATTTTTCCCTCGATAGAGCTCGGGTGGAGACGAGATCGAGATCGATGGAGACCTCTGGCGGCATTACGAGTGAACCAAGAGAGAATGGAGGAGGTGAGGTGGTCTTGTTAGGAATCATGGTGTACCTCTCTGTGTAACCGTAGATCCGGGTAAGGCTCCTCGCCTTAGCGTAGTTGGGCCGCAGCAACGTAGACGCCAAGTTCGCCCTGGATGCCGCCTCGCGGACGTCAGTGCTCGGCACGGTGGTGAGGAGGCGAGGTGGCGATCCAGTGGACCGGTGGTGACCCTGCAGAGGCGACGGCAGTGTGGTGGGGCATCCCATCGCCGGCAGCACACTATAGATCGGATTAGGGTTTCTATCGGTGGGATCATGGTGGCTCAGACCAACCTCGTGACTCGAGCCGTGTTCCCCACCTATCTTTATATGTGCTGTGCGACAGGGGCCCACCAACCTATTAGGGTTGGGCGCCCCCGATCAAGGCACAGAGGCAAGGGCTTGGGCCTATTGGTGGAGATCAACTAACATTCTCCCCCTTGATCTCCTTCCATCTTTCAATTTCATATCATTTACTTTTGTTCATTCCTTTACAGATTAGCGCATAGAGCATGTCTTATCGTCATGGTCCATTACCGATAGATTTAACAGCTACAACACACTACTCTGTTCTGAAATAGATACTTATCTTTGGGCCTTCTTTTGTTCAGGAATTTTAGGCTTTCCCTTAAACCCATGCTAGCTACATGTTCTCTGAACACCATGTTGTCTGAACACGTTGGGTGGTAAGCCTTTTGTAAGCGGATCTATGAACATCTTTTCTGTACTTATATGCTCAAGACTTATGACTTGATCCTGGACTTTATCTATCACAACATGATACTCTATGTCAATGTGTTTGGCAGCACCACTTGACTTATGTTGTGAGCATACTGTACTACCAGATTATAATCGTAGTATAACTTAAGTGGTCTATAGATGTCGTCAACCACCTTCAAACCGGGTATGAACTTCTTTAGTCAGTTCACCTACCCCGTTGCCTCATATCACGCTACAAACTATCATACATTGTGGACGATGTAGTGACGGTTTGCATTTGAGCTTTTTCATGAAATAGCTCCCCTTTTCGAGAGTGAATACTATCCCGTCGTGGATTTTCTATCATCTCTCACATAATCAGAATCTGAATTTCCCACTATGTGGAGTGAATCAGATCTTCTATACGTCATCATGAGGCCTTTCGTTCCTTGTAAATAATGCAAGACTTTCTTTACCAATTTCCAGTGTTCTGTTCCAGGATTGCTCTGGAATCTGCCAAGTAACCTGGTAACAAATGCCAAGTCAGGACGCGTACATACTTGAGTATATTGTAAGCTTCTAATAGCTGAAGCATATGGAACCACTTTTATTTGATTGAGCTCATATTGGTTCCTGGGGCATTGAAAATCCTCATATCTGTCGCCCTTGACTATAGGAGTAGGTGAGGGACTACATTTGTGCATACTGAATTTCTTTAAGATTCTTTCTATGTATGCCTTTTGTGACAGTCCTAATACCCCTTTTCTTCTATCTCGGTGAATCTCGATCCCTAGAACGAACGAGACTTCACCAAGATCTTTCATATCAAGTTTTGAGGACAAAACTTCTTTGTCTCCTGTAGTAGACTGACATCACTACTAGCAAGTAAGATATCATCCATGTACAGGACAAGAAAGATAAAGTTCCCATTCTTAAACTTTACATAGACAGAATTGTCCTCTATATTCTCTTTAAAACCCAAAATTCTTTATTGTCTGATCAAACTTCAAGTACCACTGTCTTGAAGCTTGTTTTAATCCATAAATGGATTTCTTTAGGCGGCATCCCATTCGTTCTTTTCCTTCCATGGCAAAATCTTTCAGTTGTGCCACATAAACATTTTCCTCTAAGTTTCTGTTGAGAAATGCCGTCTTTACATCCATCTGATGTAATTCTAAATCGTAATGTGCCATTAATGCCATCATGATTCTGAAGGAAACTTTACATGAGACTGGAGAAAAGGTCTCATTGTAATCAATCCCTTCTCTTTGCATAAAGCCTTTTGCCACAAGTCACGCTTTATATCTCTCTATATTCCCTTAAGAGTCAAGTTTTATTTTGTAGACCCATTTACAGTCTATTGTTTTGGCTCCTTTAGGAATTATATCCAAATCCCAAACTTTATTGACATTCATTGATTTCATTTCATCTTCCATGGCCTCAAGCCACTTTGATGAATGATCACTACTCATGGCTTCTTCAAACGAGGTGGGATCATCCTCCATTTGAAATTTCTTAGTGTTGTATACTTCATAATCAGCAGGAATAGTTGATTTTCTAACTCTTTGAGACATTCTAGGGGGCTTCACATTTGGCACATCTTCTGTTTGAGGCTGCTGTTGCTCCCCCTCATGTGTGGCAATAGGTTCTATAGGATCCTGAAGAACAGGTTCCTCATCGTCATTCATTATTGCCACAGGTGAGATAACAACAGGTGCTGGCACCACAGTATCTAGCACTGTCGGTGCAGCGACAGCAGGTAGTGAGAAAAATGGCTCATGAATCATTGGAGTGGGCGCATACACCCGCTTCACTTCAAGGTCAATTTCTCGAGCTACCATGCTCCCCCTCATCAATTCATCCTCTAGGAAGACAGCGTGTCTCGTTTCCACAAACTTTGTATGTCTCTCTGGATAGTAGAAAACGAAAAACTTTTGACTTTTCTGGGTAGCCAAACAAATGGCAACTTACTGTTTTGGGATCTAACTTCCCAATGTTTGGGTTAAATACTTTAGCCTCAGCAGGGCTCTCCCCCCACACATAAGTGGTTTAGTGAGGGTACTCTACTTGTCCATAACTCACACGGTGTTTTGGACACCGACTTCCTTGGTACTCTATTGAGAATATGAATGGCGGTTTTTAACACCTCCATCCATAGGCTCAACTATAAGGTGGAGTAACTTATCATACTGCGTACCATGTCCATCAGGGTACAATTATGTCTTTCAGCTACTCCATTCTGCTGAGGTTTGCCCGGTGTAGTATCCTGGGGTACTTTGACATTCTCCTATAAGAACCTTGCAAAAGGTCCAGGAACTTAGCCATATGGGGTATGCTGACCGTAGTACTCCCCCATGGTCGGACCTGACTATCTTAATCTTTAAATTGTGTTGATTTTCAATTTTTGCCTTAAATATCTTAAATTTATCCAATGCTTCTTTTCTTTCTTTGATTGGATAAATGTAGCCATAATGGGAGTAATCATCTGTGAATGTTATGAACGAAACATAACCATCCATACTCTTTACAGGAAAGGACCACCGAAATCTATATCAATAATTTGTAGAATTCCTGCGCTTCGTTTGACATCTTTCTTAACTTTCTTTACATACTTTTCTTTTCTGCATTCTCTACATTGTTCTAAATCTGAGAGCTCTAATGGAGGAAGAATATTATTCTTAACTCGTCTTTCTATTCTCCTTCTCGAAATATGGCCTAAACGACAGTGCCATAATTTCAACGACGTA